AAGAACTTTTTAATTATCAAGTTAAAAATTTTTAAAGTTTTATCCCAATTAAGGTTACCCGCCCATGGATTCTCAGTCACCCATGGACACTAATAATTATTATAATTAATAATTTATGGTCAAAAACAGTTACTAGGATACGTATTTTCCTACTCTTGTCAACGTGACATACATTAATTAGAGAGAAATTGAAAATCCTGCTCCCTAATGGCGTACGGAATTTCGTCGGTCCAAATGTGGGTGTTGATTCCCTCGTGTAACCGACCTCATCAGTTGATGGCATAAGAGATACAAAATTTGCTTGTTCGTTTATTTTTCTATTAACCCACTCACAAAAGTTTTGCCTACGTGGTAAGTCTGTTAGTTTCAATAACTGAGCTTTCTGGTCCTGAAAGGGGTACATTTGTTCTTTGAGTATCCTCCAAATATTTCTCGCCGATACATCACACTAGACAGTGATGCGTGCTAGTGCCCGGTCGAGCTTCGACACTCTTCGAAACAGCCTCTTCAATATTAGCAATTCTATTACTACGTAACTTACCTCCATGCTGAGGTCCAAGTTTAAAAGATCCGTACTCTCGAAAATGCTGCAACGTTCTTAAAAGTATGCACATTTGGCAGACGACGATTTGGGAGGCTTTCTGAAGACATTCTTTGGGTGCGAGCGCCGTTTCCCCGAGCTTCGCCGTACGTTAAAATGATATCGGTGCATTCCAAATTTGAAAACAAAGTCATTTCAACACATTTCGTCTATAAATTAGAAATCTGTGCCAAACAAACTTTAAAGAGACAACTGTTAATAACACACACTTGACATAAAAATGATTGTCAGTGTCAAAACGGTTGCTAGGGTACCTTCTTCATTGTTGTTGTACTGTTATTATTTTTAAGTTATTATTTAAGATGAACATAGACGGCTCGTGAATACAGGGTTAGTCACGAGAGAATTACTTCTGAAAATTATTTTTACGCAACCCAAAATACGAATACCATGTACCGTTTGATACTAACTGAATTTAAAATTAAATGCTTAATCCATGATTGCTTTGAGTTTGGCAATCTCATTTTGACAATTGTGGAAAATGAGTTTACGCGAGTGTCCATGGTGGTACCGCAGCCAGTCGGAAATCTCCTCCGGCGCCGCTAATAAATTTGTCAGTGTGCCTCTTGATCTTTTGCAACCGATTAATCAAGAGAAAATTATTTCTAAAAATTCCTTTTACGGCATTTTATTCAAAGGTTACAACACAAACTCAAACAAGGAAGTAAATAATTTAACTACTAATCTGTTGAAAATGTTGGGCATTTTGGGGGGATGCTACGACTTTTTTGTAAATGGATGGCCGAAGAAGTCCAGAGGTTGCAGATTTGCACTTCGAAGAGGCTCTAGGTGACGCAGAGATGGCGAATTAACACATGCACACTAGCGGCGAACAACATTGGTAGAGCACTTACGGCTTCAGTATAGCCCAGATTGATCTGACGGTATGTCGTCGATCCAATGGAGCTCTTGAGGCGAGTCAACGATGAAAAAAAATGTTAAAAATTAATTAACGTGAAAGTGACACTGCCAAAGTCAAAGCAATCATGGATTAGGCATTTCATTTTAAATTTAGATCATATCAAGTGGTACAGGATATTAGTATTTTGGGTTGCGTATAAATAATTTTCAGAAGTAATTCTCTCGTGACTAACCCTGTATATGGGACGGAAAATTCGAAATTCGACTTGAGTTTTCGAAAAAATGCTAGATAAAAAACTTGTTCCGTTTCACGAGTTCTGTCACTGGTTAAAATTAATGTACTTATTTCTGAGACACCCTGTATATCCACACAAAATTTCCAAAAAAAAGCTTTTCAAATAACAAAGTTAATCAATCATTCCGAGACTTTATACTAACCCTGTATATTAAACATAATACGAGTACGTATAATGTAATACTATAAATGTTATGCAGAGTGTTAATAAATGATTTATATCTAAAGAGCCTTGAACACGACTTAACTAAAAAATTTACGACTTTCGAAAAATACACTTTTTTGGTGTTGAACATTGAGTATTGCCATTCTCCGTTAATTTCTTGGCCAGACGGAAAACAGGTTTCGATAATAAATTTATCTTGTTCTAGAACTACATTTTTACGTATCGTTTATGATTTAAAGAAATAAAAATAAAAACTGTATTCAAAGGTTGACAACTAATTGAGAGACGAATTAATTTAGCAAAAAGTTGAATGCAGCGACACATTAATAAATGCATTTCATGGTCGACTAGATGTAAATACAATGTGTATTATTGAAATCTCAAAAGATTTCTGTATGGAAGTTCAAAGAAATATGGTAAAATTTGATTCTAGTATCTTTACAAAAATCCATATGCACATGGTTGAAAATGTACATTATTAAATTCACAGACAAAGGAATACTTCCTAACATAAATTTCAAGTAAAATTTAATTTGCAAAATTTTTCGAGTGGATCTTTCAATTAAGTGCTGCCCCTCGATCTGACAACGAATGAAAAATTCGTCACAATTGAGAATTGAGATCGGGGCGTGTATGGGTGGGGCCTAATGTTTGTTTTTTTTTTAATATACGTGGTATTGTTTGAACAACATGATACTCATAAACAAGTTTTTAATTTCTTGTAAAGAAACAAGGATTTCGCAGTTGGCTCACGATGAATAAAGAAATCATTACAATTGAGAAAGGGTGGGTGGGCGGGGCTGCATTTCGTCTTTTTTTTCTTAGTATGTGTAGACTTATTTCAACAACAAGAAACTTAAAACATGGTTAAAATGATTTTTGCAAGGAAATATGGATTTTGCAATAGTAGGGCGGAGCCTAAATGCAAAATCGATGTTTCCTTATACGAATTTTCCATTTTAAACATGTTTTAAGTTTTATGTTATGAAAAGAAATCTACACATATTAAAACAAAAAGGTAAAGTATAAGCCCGCCCACCCGCCCTGTTTTAATTGTGATTATTTTTTTATTCGCCGTGAATCAAGGGGACGGACCTTAACTGCAAATACTTATTTCTTTGTAAGAAATTAAAAACATCCTTTTGAGTGTCTTGTTGTTCAAAGAATACTATGCTTATTAAAAAAAAAGGCAAAATAGAAACCCTGCCCACCCATGCCATCTCAACTGTGATGATTTTCTTTATTTTTAGAAACTTGAAACACCTTTCAAATGGTAATTTTTTGTAAGGAAATAAGAATTTTGCAATTAAGCTCCGTCCCGTTGGCTCACGACGAATAAAAAAAATCATTACAATTGAGATGGGGCGGGTGGGCGGGGCTACAGTTTGCCTTTTTTTCTTAGTATGTGTAGACTTATTTCGACAACAAGAAACTTAACACATGTCTAAAATGGTAATAAACTTAAATCTTCCACTTTTCTTCTACAAGCCCAACCATGCCTCGGCGCCATTGCTATAATGGGTCTCCACGGGGCTTGCCATACAGATGAATTGTATAAGTTAGAAATTTCCAAATATTGATGACAGTTCTTTGTTCTTTCACTTGTGGACACCAAAACAAAGAGCGATCGGTCGTTCTGTATTACCGACAAACAATGCGGAGTGAGTATAAGAAAATACTTGTATGTACCATCCAACCTGTAGGTATAATTACTTTAAATAAGGTTCCTAAAAAGATTGCACAGTTTCTGCAGCTACTAAATCCGGAAATGTATACTAGGCACTGTTTCCGACGCAGTTGTGCCACAATGTTGGCAAATACCAGTGCCGACTTTGTTACTGTTACGAGAGCGGGCGGTACTGGTGGCAGAGTCGAGGATTCTATATCGAATAAAATTATAGTATCAAATCACATCCTTAATGTAGAAGAAAAAGATGATTATACAGGGTGTATATTTTTAAGTTATAAAGGATTTGTGATCAACACTTTTCTACATATTTATTTGCAATTTTATGTAAAAAATGAACGCCATATTTAAAAATGGAGTTTTATAAAAAATCATTCCTAAAATAAAAAGGTAAATCAAAGAAAGCCTAGCACAAAAACTTGATCGTATATTTTTTATATATTTTAAATCTATAATTATTACTGATAAGGCTGTGATTGTTATCGAATCATTTTTTATTGATAATATAAGATAAAGTACACACAGAAAAAAACTGTCAGGTGTAGGATTCGAACCCACGCTCTCTTTCGAGAACCAGAGCTTAAATCTGGCGCCTTAGTCCGCTCAGCCAACCTAACTATACCTAAAGCCTAGATTTGAAGTCTTGAAAACCAATACATTCAGAAACCATAAGCACTTCTGATTAGATATGTCTTAAGTGATAAGAAAATACAAAACATACTTGTAGCACTACAACTAAATATCTGTTTATCACTTAGCAACACAAAGTGAAAGGGAGATAAAATAAGAATTGGAGAGACGACTCTTAGCTAATTAGGTTTTTAAAATTTAAGAGACAAATTGATGACAAATATTATTAAAACTGTGTGGAAACTTGAATTCTAGTATAAATACACAAATTCAGTTTATTTTATTCGTTTCCTAACTCAGATTTCCGTCATTTACGCCATGATTTTTTAATTCCAACCACCTACGTCGACGCGAAAAGTCGATGTTAATGCGGTTTTGATACACCGACCCAATATCTCAGCCTTGTAAATAAGTAATTCCCTTAATGTATTCCATCAAAATTTTTAATTCTCGGAGCTCCGGGCACCCTCAAGACGCACTTTTAATGTTTGATTTTCCGGCCAATCTATTTCGAGGCAAGAAACCGATGACGGTCATTCACGGTAGAATATCGTCGTTATTGAGTCGGTGTTCGTGTCCACTGAACCTCCAGAGTGTCACGTTCCCGAGTCGAACAAAACGTGCGGGAAATCGGATATAAAAATCAAATCCTCGAGAGGCTTGCCGAGAGAACTGCCGTAAAGTTAATTCGTAGTAATAACGGACCACCGCCGATTTTTGTTATTAAAAAAGAGGGTCGCAGGAAACTGAAGATACTTGCCTTGCTCATCGCCCTCGAACTGGAGGGCCTCCCTACGGCGGTCAAATCTGAAACAAAAAACAGAAAAAGTCGAGATTATTGATCTGGCGAAAGTTAAAACTTCTCATTTGCTTTAGAATTAAGACAACGTACTTTTTTTAAATGTAAAAATATAGTAGGAAAATGTGCAAGTTAAACTATGTAATATACGTTACAGCTGCTCACAAAAGCTCTGAAAAATAAATAGAGCGGGCAATGACAAAACTGTAAAAGCAAACACGAAATTTTTGTGAATGAGTTCAACTTGTTTTTTGAACAAAAGAACAATGAAATAATACAAGCTTTTTCTTTTTGTGGCGGTACAAAAATGCATAATGCGCCAGTCGCTTGTATCAGCAAAAAATAATAAAAGTGCCTCTGGTTGACGCATTTATCGTGGAATATTAAAAAAATCTGTTTTGAAATTTTACACAAAACAAATCACACAAGTTGCATTCCTTTCGTTGAATAATTATACAAGTCTCCAGCGTAAACACTTAAATAAGTGACTAATTTGACATTTTTGACATTATGTAGCTTCTATAACGTGGAAAAATAGGTCTCCCATTTTTATCTCGGGGTAATATGTCTGCCTGTCGGTCTGTCTGTCTGTCTGTCTGTCTGTCGTTCTATCCGTTCACTGTCTGATTGTTTAATAAAGGTTATGCATGACTTTTACAGTTTAATCAAAGACATGACAAATATTTCCATGAACTCTAATCTGAAAACTTTTTGATCGCCCGTCATTAACCTTCGTCCTTTTTTAAGGTCTCATTAATGAATATTTTAAACCGCGAAAACACAGTAATGTCGTTTGCGCGATTTTTGCTTCTTCTGATCTGGCGGCGCCGTTTTTAATTCAAAAAGTAAATTAACCCGAGATCAAAACACAGTAGACTTAAAATGATGATCCAGCGAAATGACGGCAAGATTGGAGTGAATCAAGTGTTTGTGTAGTTGACACCCTTTGGAATCAGATTTTCCCGGCCCTTTTTATAAGACGTTCGAGAGGGTGTTGCAGATCTGCAGGCAGTCGCCAAGCAAACCGCTCGTCCTAATGCGTCTTCAAAAGAAACCGCTCTTTTTTATTATTTTGCCCTCGCTCATCAACAGGTATTAGATTATCCGTCTCCTTTTCCGTGTTTGATTTCCCCGATTTAATTTTTCCTGCGCGGCATGCATACATGTGGAAATGCAAATGTTGAAAAAACCGTGGGGTCGGAAATCCTTGAGGGCAATCGGATTTAATTCGTGCTATTCTTGGGATTACAGACAAGTAGGTTAAAATGAAATAAATAATCGCAAATGGAACGGGAATTCTGGAGGGCAATTTGCACTTTGGAAACCGCATCACGTAGAAATCTGTACGTTTGGAGCGGTGACAACAGCGCGGTAGATGTCAGAAAGGGATTTAATTAAGGCGGTGTAAAAAGCCAACGTCTGGAGATTCTGACAGATAAGACGGAATTCGCACTCTAGGAAGGCGCGACTTACACACACGGTACGGAGGGAAAAATTTCACCCTAATGGCATCAGGAGTTTAAATTAACCGTTTCGTAATATTTTAACTTTATTAACAATTAATTGTGGTTTTGATTTTATTATTTGCCACGTAGGACAATTCATATTACTGAAACATAGTTACTCTAAAGTCTCAGAGTTGACACATTTTTTTTATTGAAAACACTAGTTTATGTTAATATGTCTTAGCGGCTAGTTTTTTTCCAAGTAGAGTTATAATAACAATATAGCTAGTTACTAAATTTGTTAAAAGAATAGCGCACGTAGTAATGGAAGAACTCTATTTCAGAAGGTTAACTTCAGTTGTACCTAATTTGAGGTAATCTTTGAAATGAACACTGAATTAGTAGTAGCCACTGGACAATTTTATTAAAAGTGCTATGCTTAACGTAAAATCCTCTGAAGCGAAATTTGGCTATTTAAGTAATATTGAGCATTTAGAATTATATTTTTTCGTTTTTGGAATGGGTACGATTTTGAAATAAAACTCGAAACTTTTTGTAGACCTTAGATGAAAGAATAAATATGTACGAAGAAAATTTTACTCAAATTAAAACGTTAATTTCCCATTTACAATTTTAACAGAAATTTCCAGTTTTTGTTAATGAAATTTTGTTCCTATTTTGATTTTTCCATTTCTTGACTTTCGACTGTTTCGATTTTTCAGTTTTTCAATTCTTCACTTTCCCAATTTTTTAGTTTCTCGATTTTCAATTTTTCGATTCCTCAATTTTTCGATGTTTCAGTTTTACGCTTTCTCAATTTTTCTCTTCAATTTTACAATTTCTAATTATTCAATTTTTGACTTTTTAAAATTCTAAATTTCTCGATTTTTCAATTAATCGAGGTTTTAATTTTTCCATTTCTTAACTTTAGACTGTTTCGATTTCCCAGTTCATGAATTCTTCAATTTTTCGATTTTTCAGGTTTTTAATTGATCAGTTTTTAGATATTTTCATGTTTTGAGATTTTTTAGTTTTCCCATTTTTCAGTTTTTTTTTTCATATTTCAGTTTTTCGAAATTCCAGTTTTGGATTATTTATTATTCAATTTTCTTTTCAATTTTACGGTTTTTAAATATTTCGATTTTTAATTTTTATTAATTTTTGACTTTTCTAAATTCTCAATTTTTCGATTTTTCAATTAATCGGTATTTTGATTTTCCCATTTCGTGACTTTCAACTGTTTCGATTTTCCAGTTCTTCAATTCTTCAATTTTTCGATTTCACTTTTTTGATTTTTCGATTTCTCAATTTTTCAATTCTTTTTTCTCAGTTTTTGGATATTTCACTGTTGGGATTTTTCAGTTTATTTATTGTTCAATTTTGCGATTTCTCAATTTTCCGATGTTTCAATTTTTCGATGTTTCAGTTTTACTTTTTTTCAATTTTTGACTTTTCTAATTTCTCAATTTTTCAATTAATCGATGTTTCGATTTTCCCATTTTTTGATTTTCGACAGTTTCGATTTTCCAGTTTTTCAATTCTTTAATTTTTCGATTTTTCAGGTTTTTAAATTTTCAACTTTTCGATTTTTTAAGGTTTTGATTTTTTCACTTCACTTTTTGATTTCTTGATTTTTCGATGTCTCAATTTTTCAAATTTTTTTTCCCAGTTTTTGGATATTCAGTGTTGGGATTTTTCAGTTTATTTATTGTTCAATTTTCCGATGTCTCAATTTTCCGATGTTTCAATTTTACGTTTTTTCAATTTTTCTCCTCTTCAAATTTACGTCTTTTAAAAATTTGGTTGTCACAATTTTTCAACTTTGACTTTTATAAACTCTCAGTTTATCGATTGTTCATTTATTCAATCTTCAATTTTTCAATTTATTAATTTTTTGATGTTTCAGTTTTTCAATTTTTTAAGGTTTTGATTTTTCAACTTCACTTTTTGGAGTTCTTGATTTCTCAGTTACCCAATTTTTTAATTTCCCAGTTTTTGGATATTACAATGTTTTGGGATTTTTCAGATTATTTATTATTCAATTTTTCAATTTTACAATTTCTCAATTTCTAGATTTTCAATTTTTCGATGTTTCAGTTTTACGTTTTTTCAATTTTTGACTTTTCTAAATTCTCAATTTTTAGATTTTTCAATTCATTGTTCGATGTTTTTTTATTTTCCCGTTTCTTGACCTTTGACTGTTTCGATTTTCTGGTTCTTCAACACTTCAATTTTTCAGGTTCGAGAATTTTAAATTTTTTAAGGTTTTGATTTTTCGACTTCACATTTTTGACTTCTTGATTTCTCAATTTTTCAATTTTTTAATTTCCCAGTTTTTGTATATTTCCGTTTTGAGATTTTTCAGTGTTTCTTTCAATTTTTAATTTTTCGAAATTTCAGTTTTGGGATTTTTCAGATTATTTATTACTAAATATCTTCAATTTTCCAATTTCTCAATTTTCCAATATCCCGATTTTCACTTATTCGATTTCTTATTTTTCGATGTTTCAGTTTTACGATTTTTCAATTTTTGACTTCCAAATTTTTCAATTTTCCGATGTTTCAATTTTACGTTTTCTCATTTTTTGTCTTCAAGTTTGCGATTTTCAAGTATTTCGATTTTTCAACTTTTGACTTATTCAAATTCTAAATTTTTCGAATTTTCAATTAATCGATCGATGTTTTGATTTTCCAGATTCTTGACCTTCGACTGTTTCGATTTTATTGTTCTCCAATTTTGCAATTTTTCGATTTTTCAGGTTTTTGAAATTTCAATTTTTCCATTTTTTAAGGTTTTGATTTTTCGACTTCACTTCTTCGACTTTTTGATTTCTCAATTTTTCAATTTTTTAATTTCCCACTTTTTGGATATTTCTATTTTGAGATTTTTCATTTTTCAATTTTTCGAAATTTCAGTTTTGGGATTTTTCAGCTTATTTATTACTCAATTTATCAATTTCTCGTATTTCAAATTTTTGATTTCTCAATCCTCCGATGTTTCAGTTTTCGTTTTCTCAAATTTTCTTTTCTCTTCAGTTTTACAATTTTGAATTAAGTCGATTTTTCAATTTTTGAGTTTTCTAAATTCTTTAATTTTTCGATTTTTCCGGTTTTCTAATTTTCAATGTTTCGATTTTTTTAAGGTTTCGAATTTTCGACTTCACTTTTTTGATTTTTCGATTTCTCAGTTTTTCAGTTTTTGGACATTTCAATTTTGGGATTTTTCAATATTTCGATTTGAGTTTTGGATTTTTCAATGTATTGTTTTTTTTCGATTTTTCAATTTTTCGATTTTAAAATTTGAGGTTTTCCGATTTTTAATAATAATAATAATAATTGACTTTCTATAGGTACATAACATAACCCAATTATAGAAAATATAAAAGAACATATAAAAGATTTCTCGAATTTTAACTTCTGTTCTTCGATATTTCAATTTTTCAAGTTTTCGAATTTTTCAAATGTTTCGATTTTTCAATCTTTCAAATTTTCGAAGTCTCGGTTTTAGATTTTCTGTTTTCCAATTTTTCGATTTTTGAAATTTCCGATTTTTTAATTTCTCA